TACATGAGAATATAATTTTTATTTACAGCATGAAATGACACAATTTATATATATGCAACTATTACAGTTTACAAAGTATTTTAATCGATATTTCAAGCCTCTTCAGAGTATAATAGAATATAATAGAAACAGACATATACTAAAGTATAAGTATATATACTTTAGTACATGACTATTTCTACTATACTGTGTACTTAGAAAACTTTCTAACGAGCTGACGAAACATATTGTACGCAGCCTTTGGGCTTTTTGTTTTGAATGAAACTTATTTTGACCGAGAATTTTTTAACGAGCTAAATTAATGAGAGAATAATATGATATTTTATAAGTATATCGAGATTAATGTAATGAACTAGAATATATATCTGCTAAGTAGTTACTATTTTTTTTTCAATACAATTAGGATTAATTAAATCATTATATTAATAATAATAGTTACAAATAAACAATATATAATATTATTATGTCTCGAGATAACCCGCGACTGAGTAAAATTCTAGTGTATGTGGCGCCATCTAACGTTAATTTATCTAACTAAATTATGGAGTCAACTATGAAGTCACATTTTTCACTTAAGGTAAGCTGTGTAATCAATTCTTCTAATGACATTTTGAAAACCATTGTTTAACAAGCGAGTGGTTTCTTATAAAATGACAAAAACATTTAATAATAACTGTAATCTATTGAATTGTATAACTAAATTCCTTAGTGGATAAATTTAATAAATATACACAGTTTCTGTTGATTTGATTTGAACCTTCTTAAGATTGACGCGTTCAACCAACAACATAGTTACTTTCACGTTTACATTAAAAAAATATAAAGTCTAGTATATATCGAATAAATTATATTATTAACTTGTAAAATGTAAAGTTAGAAAGGAAGCACGTAAAGTTTTAACTTAAATTGCTCAATATTCATAATACCTAAATCTAATATATAAACTGTTGCTAGATTTTTTACCAATATTGTACAAATTCATCTCTTCTACGAGGTTAAATAAAACAAATTTTGGCCTAATGAAAGGGAAAATTCATCTGAATGTAATATGCTGACTGGCAGGTTGTGTTCAAAATCAATAAGTAGTGTACCTACACGCTGTTTGTACAAAAGACTTTTATAGGTGACGTTATAAAAACAATAGGTAAATAATAAGTATTTCACGGGTCTTGTGACACCAACATAAAAAACAATCAAATGAGTGTACTTTGACGAATAGGAGTTATAGTTTAATGGACAAAGATGAGGTTTAGAAATTTTCAATGTTTTTGTGAGATAACCACGCCTCTTTTCATCTTAATAGCGTTTTATTTATCGGTATATGTTAATAAACCATCAACTTATAAACGACTAATCACCACGTGGCGGCGCGTGTTTCGATTTTTCATGAGACATTTTAGCTCGTATTCTTAAAATTATCTCGCTGATGACTCTATGGGACCTATTCGTTTCAAATCCGAATCATTTGACACCTTGATTTGATCAGTCCACGGGCACAGAAAAAAATTACATGTCAAAATTTTAAAACAATGTTTTTTGCCAATCAGATGTTCGATGCAAGTAAGCGCTTTCACGTAGGTAGCTAAAGTGTTGCCCTAATGCTTGATGCGACTACCTACATAGAAGCCGTGCGTTCTGCGCGGTTTCGATTTTCATTATCGCAATAAACACTTGTAGGAGGATAAACATTCATTGTGAGGAATCTGCGATGTCTCAGACGGCGTGACAAACAGCTAGCCTATAAAAAAAGCGGACGAAAGATGCAATCTGAAGTCAAGACCCATAAAGGATTGTAGCGTTATGGATTATTATTATTTATTGTACTCACTCGCGTACAAACAATATATTATCTACTGTTGTATTAAAAGGTCAAACATTTCATGTTGCAAGTAATAAAACAATAACAACACGCATAAATTTCAAATTAAGAGTTCGATACCGGCCCATTAAGAAAAGAAGATAATAATAAATATCTTCTATAATAGTCATAACTATGGGTTAATATTTCATCTATGCATTTTACACTGAATAAGAAAGGAAATAACCCAGTTGGTTGTCTTTAATTAATAAAAAAACTGTTTTATATATTTATTGCGTTTTTAAATTATAAATATGTACTTACAAATAAAAAACTTAATATGACCAACGTTGTATATTCTCAGCTTTAGTTAACTTGACTTCTACTTATAATAAGAAATTTAAGCGTAGGGATCTGAATTTACACTGCTAGACAAAGCCTGTTTTTTTTTATTCGAAGCGAACCGTTGAGCTGTTTGTCAACCGTACTGCCTACGAGCGTCGGTACCTGTTGCTAGATCGATTCGGTCGGCTTTGTATAGCGCATACTCCACGCTGCTATTTAATATTAATGACATGACTGGCATTATAGACAGAAAACTTTAATGCACATAAAGATTATTTAATGCGTAGTTTTATTCATTAAAATATACCAACTACGATAAAATATTTGAAGCGTAAAAAATATTTTTAAGTAGGTATATGTATTCCAATAAATATTTTTATAATAAGATAAAGTATAAAAGCATAATCAAGAAAATATATAAACTAAAACAAATACATTATCAAACCGAAGTACATTAAAAAAGGCTGAAAATTAAAATATTGCTGCTTAATTACTGTTTTTTTCTTCAAAGAAATGAATAGATAATATATTAAAAACATAATCAAGATGAATCCTTCGTGACTAATAAGCGTAAGAAGTTAAGTACTTCTTACGCAGACTGACAACTGTTTCTGTTTCCGACATGTATGTACGGATATTGTCTCATGTCTTATTTTGTAACTTAGGCAACAACAAATTTAAAACAATGTGTTGTTTTCCGTATATCAATACAATTGACTGTATGAGACTCACGCTAAACCTCGTGCCAAAGACCACGCTATCGCTAAGTTGAAAATTACGATTCAATCACCTCAGCATCAACAAATCATGGAAAACAATCATGAGTTTTGGCCTTTGTCGCCATTCATAATATTGTTTGGACTGAGGTTTTGAGGTCAAAGAATTATCTTATATTGTTGGATTTGAAGAACATTAATAAGATTACTTACAGTAATATTCTGATTTCATACAAACGGTTAGACGGTTTTATGTCTCTATTATTTAAGTCTAAGACACATTTACCAGAAGACATAATTTTATTAATTTCAAATTCAACATAAATTTCAATATTCAACTTTTTTTTAATTTTATGATGTTTAGACTTCTTTATCTCGGAAAATAACAAATCTCGTAAGAGTTGAGTGCTTCGTCAATAAAACCATATTTTCTTAGTAATAAATAAACAAAGAATATTTAATCCATAGTATGCAGCTGTTGCCAAGTTAAATTAGTTGTAATGGATGGGCCATTACCATAAAACCATAACAGAATGGAAATTGTTTGTTGTTTTACTTTATTTTCCTTAACTTTATACACTCAATAAAACTGTGTTTTTAACTTTCAGTTATATTAATCTTATTGTGCATACATACATCAATGGCGCTACAACCTTTTTAGGTCCTCAGATTTCTGTTTCATCATCATTTGTCAATCTAATAGGCCTCCTCTACTTCGACTTTTTGGGTCTAAGGCATACCGGTTTCCTCACTATGTTCTCCTTCATCGTTAAACCGAATGTTAAATGCGCACAAAGAAAGAAAGTCCATTGGTGCAAAGCCTGGGCGATCGAACCTCCGACGTCAGGGATGAGAGTCGCACGCTGAAGCCACTAACCGTCCACCGTCTTTTTTCTGTTTCATTAATTCTTTTTATTGATACTATAAACCACTTACTTCTGAGACAACCCAAAGCCAATCCATAATAATTATACTATTACTAGCTGCCCTCGCGAACTTCGTTTCTCCTTAATGTAATTTTACTTAGCCTACCTTTTTACTACATACCAACATGGAACATTTTGCTATGCTACTCCAGACTGTTCAGTTTTCTGGAATGAAAACTTTTTAGGTTTTTCTGTGAACTTTTCTCTATACGTATATTAACCTCAGAGTTCAAGTCATAAGATTTTAATTAACAAATTAAAAATAGGGGTTGATCATAGAGTGAAAATTAATTTTTGTATGCTGTATCATAAAAAAATAAAAACAAAAATTTTATCTAAAAAATTAAATTTTAGGACCCTTAAAATTTAGGGGTTTTGAAAGATATATAGCAGCCGATTCTCAGACTTACTGAATATGCCTAAAAAATTTCATAAAGATCGGTTGAAGCCGTTTCGGAGGAGTATGGGAATGAACATTGTGACATGAGAATCTTTACATTAGAAGTTAGGTTTAGTCATTTTCGAAATATGTAGATGTATTAATATTTAAAGTATATTAAGCCTTAAAGAGCCAGCCCCCTAAGACTTAGGGCTCTACAAGCTCTTCCTGTCCTGACTCCTTCCCCTTTAAAAGTTTAGTATGCCATCAAAAGAAGCTCACATACAAAATCCGTTCTATAGCTTGGAAGACATTATGTACCAATTTTCAATTTAATAGCACTTACAATCTTTAAAAATTATTCATTTTAAGGATTATTACATTTTTATCAACTCCTGTGCAAAAAGACTAGCTAGCAGAAAGTAATAATATATGCTTCTTACACTAATGTGCTAGTGAAAGAATGTAGAAAAACACCTTAGGTTTATTGCCAGTCTTATTCAGAGTCTAAGTCTATGTCATTACTATAAAAAATGACATAGGTACCTACTGCTATCAACTAGGAAACATACATATATGTAGTATCTTATAAAATTTTATTTCAGCTAAGAAATAACAAACTTCTATAGATAGACACAATTTATTTCATCACAAATTCAATTAATTCAAGCGGTTTAAATTAGAATCTGATCAAATAGACTAATTGTATGATAATATAAAACAATTACAATGTTGATCCAGTCTTAGTCTAAAACAATGTTACTGATTTTTTTTGTTTAATTTTATTACTTATATAGACTAGACTAGAACTATAGATAAAGAATATGTGGTATGTTTTAACTTTCTTCGAGACTATTTACAAAGGTAATTGATAGAATATCTGGTGTTCTTAAAATAGCAGAATCCATTTGTAAATTTGCAGGTGTTTTCATATTTTGAACAAGTATCTCTGAGCCATCTGGATTCCAACCCGAAAATGTAGCTTCCAACATTGATTTTTCATATGTTACAATTTTACAAACTTTTCCTGAAATATTAATTATTTTAATAGTGAACTCTACTTGTTTTATTCTAATTAGTTTTAAGATTTTTTTTTTATTATATATATTATTAATTTTACCTTCTAATTCCATAACAGATCTAAGGAATGACTCTCGTAATTTTGCCCTTGCAAGTTGTTTCTCACACGGTTCAGTTTCAGGTAGCATTATTTATTTATTTAATATTTAGATCGAGTTTTTTTCATTCACTTAGGACCATGGTCCATCGTCCGAAATCCGAAATATCAAATAAGTATAGATAATACAAAATACAAATTCATAATTATACAATTTCACTAAGATTGTCAATTGACATTAGTTCACGCTTGGTCACGTGACCATTCTCAACAAATTCGTTGGGCAGTAGATGATGGTCTATAGACAATCGTAGGCTACACCTGTCAAAACCGCCTGGACAAGTGGATTTAATTTTAAGGGAACATGCATTTTCACTTATTGTGAGCATCCGTTGCGTGCGCCGAGTTAACGGTCAAGCTTTAGTACTAACTTTAATGTATTGTAAGTGCGGAAAGCCAATGCACTATGGAAAATCGAGATCTATTTCATATAAAAAATGGCCTTTATTTTATTTCCTTATCGACACTATAGTGGATAAAAAGTTATATTTTTATTACTTTATTTTAAAACAACGATATAAAAGCTCATACCTATTTCAATAATTAATTAAAAGGTATGATTACTAATATTTATTAGTCATCATACCTTTTATTAAAAACATTTAAAGTTATTATTATTATAAATATTTAATGTGAATAAATACAAATTTGTAAAATTTATACTTAAGTACTTGAAAAAATATGTATGTATTAAGGTTTAAACTTTAAACTATACCGATTACCGCGAAATGAGTGCAAAATTAAAGTAAACCGCCCTGTTGTCAAATGTAAAGTACTGGAAGACATCGGCAACTGTCAAAAGTCTCGACGAAGTTACAAAACTGTATTTTTTCTACTATGTTATATTTGTGTTAAAATCTGCATACCATGGGTTTTCTAAAAATGTATTACACTTTGTAACTATTTTTACCAATTTTTGAAAGAAATTAATTTTAAAAGATTGAAGCGAACTGGTCTGAAATAGACATTCTCTGATACACTTACTATGCGGATTAAAAAAAACATATTTTAAATGAACATCATGCAAAATTACTACATTATATTAAATTTGCACACTTATACTATTTAATAAACTTTTAAAAGTGCATCAACAATATTAGTCGATACAAACCATTTTAAACATTCCGTTATTCTACCATTTTCCATAGCGCGGCTTGTCGGATTTGCAAAGTAATAAAATTCTTATTATAGATTTCTTATCTACACTTTTGATTTTATTCTATTGAAACGTAAGTATCATCATATAGTGCTTTTCATGAAAGAAGTCCCGCGGTGATTTTTGGAACTAAATTTGACAGGTCGGCAATGTTGTCATTCGTCGATGTTATGAAGTTCGTTTGTTGTGGTAGATTTTTGTGAATTTTTAACTAGCTTAGTGCATTTTAAAGATTGATTACAATGCCAAACGTTGTAAAAAGTTCGGCTCGAGAAATGATATTAAAGGTGAAACAGTTCTGTGAAGCGGAACATAAGAATCAAGGAGTTTTAATACCACTAAACAATGTTCGGAAGAGAGTTGCCGCCATAACAGGTACTTTTTAGAGTTGCCATTTAATATTTTTTTTTGCTGTATTGATGGGACTTTTATGATATAAATTCGTTTTTGCGACAAAATTGAATAAATACATAACGTGATGAAACTAGGTAACTGAAATTAAAACATATATTACATATTACATAAGCATTATAAACTTAAAGTTACTATTATTTTTAATTGTTCATAATTTAATTGCAGGTGTGTCAGAGAAAACTGTAACAAGAATTACAAACGAAGGTATAACAGCGGCATGTACTTCGAAAAAAATTGTAACCCAACAATTATGCAATAAAACTCTGAGTAAAAAATTGTATTGCTTTTCTTTACCCTATTTTCTCATCTTTTCCCTGTAAGTAGGTAGAACACCGCTAATATAAGTAAATCAAAATATACTTTTTACATAACAGAAATATTGTTTCATCGAAGTATGCAGAAAATAATATTATTTGATAAATTACATCTGCTAAATGTAAATAAAATAGGTAAATTTTTTACTCATAAATGGCAACATTACATTATGCGATTGCAGCGCCGCGTCTGGGGGACTTCTTTCATGAAAAGGACTATACATTTAATATTATGATTACTGTCGCAATATATGACCTAACAAGGTTTAGCACTGCAGCATTCCTATGACGTTTCTTGCCGCACAGACTCCAACAGAATGGTTTTAACAAACACACATGATCATTTAAAGTAAATTCATAATAACCTTTTTTTAGTCAACTTTCTCCCAAAATAATGTCGCGTCGCTTTTTGCAGTGCCACTTTGACTATAACTATCCACTATTTCTTTTTACGCTTTATCTATGGTAGTTTCTCATCCTTTGTCAGTTGGTCACAGATTGTCATCAAAATACGTATGGAAGTTAGATCTTTATTTCATAATTGATACTTCCATAATAATCTGTATATTAAAAAGGAAGTCATTATTCAATATTGCTTATTCAGCCTTAAAGTGAATCGCTATGATTGCGTTTATACTCTTATGTATAGTAAAATAAAAAAATTGTTATGTGGTTTTTAAATTACTAATAGTTTGCAAGTACTTCAACAAAACGTATTATCTACCTAGTACCTACTAACAGCGATTAGAGCAACCGTAGGTTAGTTTTGTGAATAGCCATGGCGGTCCTAGCGGCAGCTCAGTTGCTTGACGAATTGATGGGACGGCATCGAAATACGAATCCAAACGAAAAAATAAAAAAACCCAATTGGGAAGACCCTGAGGTGAGTTGTAAGAACGGATTAAGCTTATAGATTTTGTTTTAAAAATTTAAGCTTATTACAGTTTTGTGCAACACCATGTTGCTAAATTACAATAGTATTTATTCATTATAATTTAAAATATAGAAATCGCAGTTTATGTTTAAAAGCTCTAATAATTTCGTAATCTTTTTTAATTTTCATTGTAATATGAAAACTAAAACAAGTTAAACTAAGGCACAAATCTTAATTAAAATTAAAAAGTTTATATATTCTTTTACAGTACTGTAAATATTACATGGTTAAGTTTTGCCCTCACGACTTATTTGTTAATACTAGAGCTGATCTTGGAGCATGTCCAAAAGTACATGATGATGAAGTTAAAGACTTATTTGAAAAGGCTGACTTTTCCTACAAAAAATCTCAGTATATTGAAGAATTTCTACGATTTTGCCGTCACATGATTAATGATGTCGAGAGTAAGTATTTGTATTGTAAAGCCAATTTATAAAAAATAAATGTTTAAATAAAAATTTCATGCTTTTTAAGGAAAGATACAGAAGGGAAAGCAAAGACTGGAGCTTATGAATTCAAGGCCAGAAGGTCCACCAATGACTCAAGCTCAAACAGAGAAGAATCAAGAACAAGTAAATATATAACAATAATTTTATTTTTACTTCACAGAGGCAATTGCATGATCACCAGGATTTTATGTAATAATTATGCAGTTTCCTAATTTCTAAGAAAGTTTTCTCTTAATGTTACTTTTTACTTTTTTTCAATTGACATGTGTGACACAAATACAACTTTTTAAAATTGGTGGTGATTGATTGTATTTAATATTAATCTAAGCCCGTTGACAGTGTGCATTTTCATACCAAATATGTATTTATTTGTGCCTAGTGGCTAAAATTTAATTGTGCACAAAGGTTGTCAAATATTAAATTTTTATTTTGCCAATGTTTGTTTGTTTTACACAAGTAACATTTATTTTCTGTTCAATGTGAGACCTTACACAAATCAGTGTATGAATTTTTATATAAACCTTGTAAAATACAATATACTTTTTTACAGGTATCATTACTCTCAGAGAAAATAACTGCATTAATGCAAGAGGCAGAAGAGGCAGGAACATGTGGCAATGTGGAGCAAGCTCAAGGACTTATGAAACTTTGTGACAGACTTAAAGAAGAAAAGGATCAACTTCTGAAGCAACAGGAGAACAGGTTTGATATTTTTAAACACAAAATAATAATCTAAAAACACAAACAAATTTTTTTTTCTTTGTAAACAATATAACAAGCAATATATAAGAGACAGAAGTAAATACTTCAATCAAAGCAAGTATTTCTTAGACTACAACTGCCATACTGTTTTGTATTATATCGGAATTGTCCGAATACTGAGTAGACACAAAGCTTCAGCTTTTGAAATCAAACCATAGTAGTGGCTCATGGTAAACAGAGCATCTTATTTTCTTGTTTAAATGGAAAGTTTACAAAGTTTCTAATCAAGCCATTTTGTTTAAGTCATTGGTCTATGACTGCTGAATTGGCAGCTGCACAGGAAAAACAAATGGAGGTGTGTCCTGTATGTGGGGCATTTTTGATTGTTGGAGACGCTCAACAAAGAATTGATGACCATTTATCTGGAAAGCAGCATGTAGGGTAAGAAAAATTTAACATTGTTATTATTAATACATGCATTCAAATTCACTTATGAAATGTTATAAACTTAATTCCTAATGATTTAGTATCTCATGCAACGATCAATATTATATGAGTTCCAGTTGACTACTGAATTTGGTTTATACAGTTGATTGTTGCTGCCGTATTATGTCTCATTTATCTTTTTTTGTCTTAGGTATTTTAAACTACGACAAGCCTATGAAGAAATGGTAGCATCTCGTGAAAAAGAACAGCAGGAGAAGGAGAAGCGACGCCGAGAGGATAGGGAGAAAGAAAGAGAAAGGAGTACTAGGGGCGGAGGATTGGGTTCCGATAGACGTGATCGGGAGAGAATGGAACGCGACCGGGAACGCGATCGCGATAAGGACAAGGACAAAGACTCTGTCCGAGAGAAAGATAGACATAGGTATGTGTTCTAATTATTTCCTAACTAATTTTTGCTTTAGTCCTATGACAGTTCTCCCTACAATATCCATGTTGATGCATTACATTGCGTAGAAGGCGCGAACTTAAAACGTTCTACATTAATAAAATACCCAACTGCGATTACAATACCAAATTTCGCAATAATTTTATTTTATTAACCTGATTAGTGGTTAGTGGTTTTTTGTTTGCATAGGTAAAATTGCTTTAAAATACATACATCGATGAATCAAGTCAAAGACCAAATAAGATACAGTGCGTTACCATTCTCTTTCAGGGAGAATCGTGACGAGAAGAACAATCGTGACGAGAAGAACAATCGTGACGAGAAGAACAATCGTGACGAGAAGAATAATCGTGACGAGAAGAACAATCGTGACGAGAAGAATAATCGTGACGAGAAGAATAACCGTGACGAGAAGAACAACCGTCATGAGGACCGCGACCGTGAGCGAGAACGTGATCGCGACAGGGACCAGCGTCGTGATCGCGATAAGGAGCGGGAGAAGGAACGGAGCGACCGTGACCGTGAACGTGACAGAGACCGCGACCGGAAGCATCGCAGGCGTAAGTTACTATTGATTATAGAGTGGATTCCACTTTACACTTGTTTTCTTATTCTAAAGTGTAAAAAATTCTAATACCATAGTAAGACCTCCGTTCTGGGGCATTACTCTTATAGTTCGATAATAATCATCTTGATACTGAGAAGATTAGTATATACTTTTTACATATAAATAAAATAAATCAAAGGAAATAAGAATTTTACTGTTCAAACCAAACCGCTACGCCGGTTTTTTCCGCATAGACGTTAGATGATAATATTTCACCCTTTCTTGTCATTTAATTATAATAATTATTTTTAGGATCACCCCACGAACGGTCACGTCGCCGCTCCCGCGATCGCCGCTAGAAAAACTGAGGTATCACAAATCACCTCGAAATGGTAAGCATAACATCAATATGGTTCACCCTTTAAACGTCCACCAACGCTTAAACTTCCAGCAATAACAATAACACAGCCGCAACTAAACAGTTCACGTATACAAATGACAAGTAATAAAGTGAACACTTGTTTTACAGCTTAGTAAAATGTACCAAAATATAACATCGGTATGGCATATGGGGATTGACCCCGTTCGTTCGATAGTTGTCGTCACACCGACGGATTTAGCAGGTATTTGATTGGTATTTTCAAATAGCGGCTGGGTGCTGGCTTTCGTTGCTCACTTGCCGCGGTATGGGCTCGTCGTTGTTGTATTGAGGTACATAAAATTATGATTCGTCGTCTTGAGGCCAGAGCGAGAAAGCCTTCTGTCGCACGCGATGACAGGTATTTGTTAGGGTCACGATAGCGATTTTGGGAGAAGTTCCTGTTATTTAGGCTTAAAAAATCTTTGAGCTTTGTATTAATTCTCTATGTAAATTTAATGATAACTTTTCTCTGTGTGAATAGGTTTTTTTACAAATATTTTAGGCACATTTAATGGCAATAATGGAGATGCCAAGATGCGTTATTTTGAGACATGGATGCTGTTTTTCACATCTACTGTGTGTTTACAGGTACTCCGATTATGGCAACAAGTTTATGTTTATTGATAATAAATTTCATCAAATTTTTGTTGCCATATGAAAAACCTACACCCAATTAAGAATTAACTTTTTATGATTGAATTGAAAATTATCTATCATTGAAGTTAGTTCTTTTTTCTTCTCTAATTCTCTCTACTAGAGTGTGTGAATGGACTTTTCAGTTGGAAGTGTGAAGACAAACGGCTCAACAGCGGCAAAGAGGTACTTTTGAATAAACTACAGAAGAACCAACTGAACATTGGAGTCGTCCCCAAATGCTTTCGAGGTGACATTAAAAGTCACGATTAAAATAATAAATTACTAATGCATGTAATCGTATTAGTATTATTGGTTATGCTAGGTTATACGTATAGGTTAGGTCAACATCTATGTCCCTAGGCAAGTTTATACCGATTCCACTGAGGAGTTATTCAGGTATTTATCCATTTTTTATTTGTCACGATAAAGACGAATTTGTGATTGGCGTATTAAGCAGTGTGAACGGTTAGCGTTGTTTTTGAAATATTAAATAAATGCATAATTTCACAGACTTTTATTTACTACCACAAGTCACAACAACTGTCCTATTTATTTTCATCCATCTCTGAAGCGCACGTGTTTTAGAATTTTTAAGGGGTATAATTCATAGTTTATTGCCGATGAAGGCAAAACGATCGATATTGTATCGATTCGATCCGAAAATAGGTTAGTTCGTATGAGCGCACTATCTATAAAATATTTAATGCATCGTCAGTCGTCACATAATAATTAACATCATTTAACAGGGCTGTCAAATTGTATGAAAGTATACAAAATGCGTATAATCCGGAAAGAAAAAAACTCGTGAATATTAATTATTGATTCAATTTAAATATCTCGCATGAGTACTGCAAATTGAATAATTAAAATTATTTTCAAATTTTCTTATATCTGTGGAATCGAATCACATATGTTAAATGAAATCGCTTTTGAAAAATTTGGAGATTTATCGTGTCAGCATTATGTATTCAACGTCTGACCAGTGGTGCTTACATGGGGGTTTCCCCCCCCAAATATAAGAGGAATGAATATGTTTTAGGGGATTTTTAGGGTACTTTTACTACTACTAGGTATTTTGTTTTCTTAAAAAACGCATTATTCAAATTATTTATTGTAGGCTAGCAAAATTTATAATTGCACCCGCGCGTCTCCCTTCGCCCGCATTAGTGACGAACGCCATCACCGTGGCGCTACGGTCACGTAACTAAAGTAAAAACTCCACGGCATTTTGGACGGTACAAGCAATACAAATAGAAAAAATATTAATATGTGGTTTACTTAACGAGTGCCAGATTAACCTCGTGGAAAGAGTTGTCACATACCAAATGGTTCACCGCGTATGCAAACATGCTTACTTGGGCCTAAGTGTATTTAATTGTAATTGAGAGCCGAACATTATCTATATTTAAATTTAAAAAATTTAACGTGACAACGTCTTATAATTCGATGGAGCCGGCTGCACGCACGAAAAAATATGACGCATGCGGCGTTACAAGCGCGGAACGAGCGACAAAGAGGCACAATCAGCTTCCGCGTTCTTTCTTTTTTTTTTATCTTGAAATATGCAACCATTCCATCAGTATTTTCTTATGACGTTGTCACGTTCAACTATCGTCAGTATACCGACTTTACAGACAACCGATTTTTTTAGTTAGTAAGAGTAGTCTCTATAAAAATTATTTCGATAATGATGACTCTGCCTGTTATTTTATATACGATAGCTTTTCGTCTATTATTTTTAACCATTTTTAGTATTAGTTGATTTGATGTATGTAATATTTATTGACTAGGTGTAAATAAATAGATAGGTATATAGAATAGAAGAGCGTCATATAAAATTATATAGGTTATCACGCAAAATAAATCATATAGGTATCATTTCCAATAAAATCATTAAATAGCATCTGTTTAGTTTGCATATTATTCTACGCGGTTTGATTTGTAATTTCATGTTATCTTTTTTTTAATTGAATAATTAATATATTATTACTAATGTTATAATTGTGAAAGTGTGTTAGTTTAGTTTTTGGTAATGGGTTTTATTTTACTCGTGGTAATGTTAATATTTATTATATTATACCGGGCGCTGGCGCTAAGATGCCTAGCATTCTCGTCTCAATGGAGCAAGGGCAACTTATAAGTTATAGGCAGCGGCCTTCGGCACGTAAGTCTAGCGCTGGCCGATACGTGGAGGGGATTGCTGCGCACGTGTACTGTCGCGCGGGGGACGGAATGCGACTGGAGAGCCAATCGACGCTGCGCGCGCCCGCTAGCCCCCCTCAGGTACCTTATTTTTTACTTCTGCGCAATAACGGTCAGCGCTTGAGTTTCGTGCCGCTACTTGTACTAGTGAAACAAACATATGCTCGAAGGTTGCATCTCACTAAAATGAAGTAAACTCCGAATGCTTTTTGTTTAAATAACTGGTAAAATATACAATATTAAAATAATCGCTAGTAACAGCTCTCAGTCAAACTAATGGTCTGTAATTCAATTAATTTTTGGCTCCATACTACTCGCCATGATTGAATAAAAACGAAATTAGACAAAAGTAAGCGGGGACTATGTTTTTTTTGTATCGGGGAATTTATATTGTATTGTGTTTTAATTAGACTCAGCCGTTGAAATTATAGTGAAGGATAAAATCTACGATGAGTGATTTTGGTTTTAGCCCGCTCTTAAGCCTAGAACCAAACCAACAAACTAAAACAAATATCCAATCGTGGCTATACTGAAATATCAAAAACCTATATAATACTCCAAAATCGAAATTTTCGATGCATATTTATAATCACCTCTTAAACCCAGTGTACAACAAGAACCTAATCGGTTTGGGGTGTATAATCGATATATTTTAGGGGTATTTGAAGTTGGTTCTAGAGGGAATATTCTTTAGAAGCTGGCATCACTGGACACTGCGTCTGACAGCGGAATCGGCAATATGCCAATGTCACTTGTCAGTATCATAACTATCATAAGACTTCAAATTAGCTGTGGTGATGATAAAAAATAATATGATGACAGTTTATTTAAAACGATTATTATTTCTGTATTTGCATTGGTGATAATAAAATAATAATGGTGACGATAATTGAAATCCTAAAAGAATTCAGCTTTTATATGTGTTTTAATTTCTTCTAATCGATAAGTATATACTTTGAAAGCAAACTTTTATATTTAAATATGGGTGGTCTTTTTACTAAGAGTAAAAAGCCAGTAAGTAGAGTAACTGAACAAGATAAGGCTGTGCTGCAACTAAAACAACAAAGGGATAAGTTAAAACAGTATCAAAAGAAGACAGAGCTAAACCTTGAAAGGCAACGACAATTAGCAAAAAAACTTTTAGCTGAAGATAAACGAGATAAGGCTAAATTACTATTGAAAAAGAAGAGATACTTTGAAAATCTTTTACAAAATGCAGACATTCAATTAGAAAAATTAGAACAACTTACACATGATCTGGAGTTCACTCAGATTGAAGTTCAGGTAATCTTATTAATTCCTGCTTTTGGAATGAATCCTTGATATCCAACAGTGGCAAATTATTTGGAGGCTAGGCTTTGATAATAGGCCCTGAGTGTGACGGAAATATTATTCTTACTATTTGTAATTTTATGCATATTAAGTTCCATAAATATTTTTTTTTGTAAAATTCATAATATTTATATAATTTGAAGTTGATTTAAATAATCTACAACTACTTGTTAATTTGACAGTTCCCTTTGTCCCCTGTTTCATATGTATTTTTCTATTTGAAATACTCCTATTCTAATTAATATTTCAGGTCTTGGATGGATTAAAGAATGGAAATGCAGCTTTAAAAAACATTCATGAAATGTTGAGTATTGATGAAATAGAAAGAATCATGGATGAGACCCAAGAGGGTATTGAGAAGCAAAGAGAATTTGATGAACTTATTTCTGGACAGCTAACAGGAGAAGATGATGAAGCTATTGAAGCTGAATTAGAAGAAATGCTTGATGTTAAAGACCTTCCAGAAGTCCCTATAGATGAGTTGCCAGAAACGGGAAAGGTGCAAGCAGAAAAAAACCAAAAGTCAAAATCTGGTTCTAAAAAAATTGCAATGGAAGCGTGATAATGTACATAAAATTATTGTTATAAGTTTAAGTAAAATAATATTTTATTACCTGCAGAATAATTAATAAATTTAAAAGCATTTACATTTGTGTTCTGTCTAGTGCACTGCTATATTCCAAGTCTATCAATGATATCACTTCAACACAAAATATCTAAATGAATTTGCTATTCAGAATGTAAGGTTATTAGTTAATTTGACTTTGGTGAACAAAAAGGCATTTATAATAACAATCATTTCAACGCCATTACCATCATTTATTCTAAATTTAATGAATGTTCATTTGAATAAGTGCATACATGTAACTACTGGTTTGAACCGAAAACCTCAATTTATCAAAGGAACGGAGCATCAATGAGATGTTGCAAAAAAATACTTTTTGCAAAAATCATTGTGTTCTAAAAAAGTGTTGGATTGGTGTATGCATGTCTAAATTTTTAATAACGTTATATAACTTTCTTTACCGTTTTTATAGCAATCAAGTTGGTCTGAAATAATGCATTACTTGCAAAGGTATTTATTATGAACATGATTTTAATCCTTATACATAAAAATTATCTCTAGATCTACACTGATTGTGAAAATTCTTTTCCCAATAGAATTAAAGGGTCTTTCATTAAGGGCTTCCTATCTTCAAATTTAAATAAAACAAAATTTGTGTTAGATATCATCAACAATTTTTATTCGTTTGAAAGGCCTATCGATGCCATTATGTGTGGAATATAACATCGTTCAAATGTCCGCTTCTCTGGGTGGCGCGCATCCGAAATGTCCAATTTTCCATGACGCTGGTGCATAAATCAGGCTGAATTTGACCGATGGCATGGGTTATTTTGCCTTCGAGGACCGCTGTGGTTTGTGGCTTATTCGCATAGACTTGCGACTTAAGAAAACCCCACAAGAAATAGTCTAATGGGGTCAAATCGCACGATCTCGGTGGCCAGTTCACATCATCTCCACGTGAGATGACCATGCCATCGAACCGCTCATGCAGAATGTCCAATGTGGCATGAGCTGTGTGGCACGTAGAGCCGTCCTGTTGAAACCACATGTCGTTGGTGTCCATATCATCCAATTCAGGCCAAAAGAAGTTGGTAATCGACCTATAGCGCTCTCCGTTTACGGTGATGGCCTGCCCAACGTCGTTTTCAAAGAAATATGGACCGATGATGCCGCCAGCCCAAAATCCACACCAAACAGTGACTTTTTCGGGATGCATTGGACGTTCTTGGATCTCATGTGGATTTGTATCGGCCCAAATTCGACAATTTTGTTTGTTCACGTACCCATTCATCCAGAGATGGGCCTCCTCACTGAAGATGATTTTTCGATGAAAATTAGGGTCAGTTGCCAACTGCTCCAGAGCCCATTCAGCGAACACAAGTCTTTGTCTATGGTCGTTTACCTTCAGCTCCTGGGTCAGTTGAATTTTGTACGGGTGCAGGCCCAAGTCACGACGCAAAATTCGCCAAGTTGTGGTCTGTGAAAGGCCGAGTTCTTGTGAGCGACGCGAAATCGACTGCCTCGGATTCTCCTGCATGCTCTCACGGACAGCGGCGATGTTTTCGGTAGATCTTGCGTTTCGTCGACGTACGGGTGTTGGTTAATCGTTTACTGAACCAGTGGACTCAAATTTATCCACCACACTGCGAATAGTCCTCTCGGTAGGACGATTATGGCGCCCGTAAAATGGGCGAAGCGCGCGGAACGTTGCCCGAACAGAACACCCATTTTGATAAAACAATTTTATCATTTGCACGTGTTGTTGAACGCTATATCCATCCATGGTAATTTGGCAAAACAGACTGAATAAATGACAGACAATTTGACAGATGTAGCTTCAACATGATGGCCGCTATCAACTGTAAAAGTTCGGAAGTCCCTATTGAAAGACCCTTTATTTGGTAGTTATAGACGACATAATTTAACTATAAAAATTAACGAGAATGAAAATGTTTCTTAGGATCGTCGCTGCCTTAAAGATGTATGATAAATTGATTATTGAGTTTTAGGCAGCAGATGACAGCATATAATATGTATTGTCTGATAACGACTCACTTAGTCACTCACTCTATGAATAAGTGTGATCGGAACTTTTTTGTGTCTCCGGTGTAGTGGAGGAGAGTGAGTGGTACAATAGTGTGAATCGTGGCGCAAAACCACCGGAAAGGGTATGTAGGAGCATTGCTCTTTTCTATTCTATGACTATGACAATTTCTAGTTAAATTGTCTAATGACGTTTACTAGACAATTTAACTAGAAATTGTTCCTCGAGATATACAAGCGCAGTTTTTAAAACCTAGTAAGGAACATTTTCTCCTTTTATTCAGGTGGAAGTACAGGCAAGACAGGACAAACCAGGCCTTCTTGAAACAGGCGGCTATGTGTTTACGGAAGCACATACCCACGATCGAGCTTGACGGCTAGATATTTGACGGACTTTTGCCTCGAGATGGCTTGCCCGTATAGGGTCGAGGGGATGATAACGTTCGTTCTACACGATAGCGCATCGAGCAATCGGACAAGAATGGAGTGTAAGGTAAGAGTCTTCATTGGCGTAACAATAGGGTGGCAGGGCTGGCAAAATGCCACGGGCCAAGAGGGTCAATGTCCAAGTCCATTTATTAAGTTCTATGGATGAATATGAAGTCTCCAGTACGCATTGGGCTAGCGAGGGGACTACAGGCCATTCCCTCTCGCCTAAGGAAGGAGGTCATTAGTGGTACATATACAACGTGTAATTGAGTACGCTGAAAATCTCGAAGTCTATTAAAATTAAACTGAGTACAACGTGACGATTTTTACTGATAGGGCCCCATCTAAAGAATTTGCCACGGGCCCCAGATGGTATAGTTACGCCACTGAGAGTCTTACACCAGTTCTTGTACGATCGCTTCTTGGCACTTGAAGTTGGTAAAACTTGTCAAACAAGCCGTTGTGCCAGACCTTGTCAAACTCCTTCGCTATGTCGAAGAAGAGCGCACCTGTGGCTCTCGGTTTCAGGGAGCTATTCATCTCGGAAAGGATGTGCTTCGTGATCCTATAGACTTGATGACAACTGGGTTGGCCGGAAGCCAAACTGCTCATCGGGAATGAGCCCCCTTTTTTAGGGCGAAATTAAGGAGGGACTTTTTGACCACCTTCTCGAACATATTGCTCAGCGTATTGAGTTTGTGAATACCATCTACAATGGCCTCTTAGCACTGCGCCTGATAAGCGTAGTTTTTCAATTAACGCAATCTATAGCTGGGTTAATTGGTCTCTATAGGAAAAATTCTATAATAATCAATAGGTATAAAATAAAGTACAGCTTCTTTCCCTTGCGAAGTTCTTGATGGGGATTTTAGGGAATGGCTCACTAGAACTTCATAGGGATTTAGCTCTATTCAAATTTTTTTTATGCTCTATTAATTCAGAGGCGGAATATGCTATAAATAAATAAACATGCAAGATTGACTAACACATGCATGGTATTCTGAGAGCTCTTGTTAACGAACGTTTTTGTCAACGGGTAACGGGCCGACGCAAAACGGCTATCTTTGTACATGATACGCTAAATATAACGTGAACGCGTCCGTTGTTGTCGATATCAGTTCTATTAAATTTGAAGGGAGAAGTGCACGTACGTTGATTATTATTTATCAGATAATGTCTCAAAATCTTCATTTAGCATTACGAACATTTCTTTCCTTGCCGCAAAATTTGCTTGTTTATTTTTGAAATTTTCTATAGTTTTGTCCCATAACATAGTTCAGAATAACAAGGCTAATTAATAAATCCATATCAATGGTAAACTCCATATTCACAATGAGCAGCAGAGGGTAGGTAGATATAAATATAAACGTGCGCACATCCGTCGTCGTCAACACACTTCTATGAAATGCCGTAGTTCACAGTTCACTGCATCGGACAGTCCGCCGTCGCGCCGAAAGGGGCAACGTGCGCGCATCCGTTGAGTCACTTTGCAACGGGTATGAGCCCGTCGCGTTAACAAACATTCACTCAACTTACTTGAACACTGCGCGTCGGACCGTCGCCCGTTTTAAAAATCGGGCCGTTGTCGTTAACAAGAGCTCTGAGGCTACTACAGAGGAATATACAATAAAAATGCTTTTTAGTTTCATATTTTTAATCTCGTTCATATCAAATTACTGAATATAATTTAAAATTTAGTAGATACACACTACAGTTTAAAAATCTTAAGCAAAATATAAATAGCGTGGTACCATTGAAGATAAATTATCATACTTATTTCCCGATAACAGCTATTTCAATGGTTCTCGCACCTTATGATAAAACCCTAGGATTACAATACGATTCTTAATCGCTATTCCTATTTTTTTACATAATATTTAAAAGATGTTACTTAGCCAAATAACGCGCTAACAAAATCATAATTTATTTCTATATATTTACATATACATACAAATTGCCTACATGCTACAAATGGTGAAGGAAGTGATTACAACACCACTTCTTAGTTTGCCATGTTAGAAATAGTTTCCATAGAATTTTAAATCACTATTAAATATCACACACTGTACACAAAAATGGCAAATAAGTCAAGATTATAGCAAAGTAGTCAAGAAACTTAACAGGATGTTAAGTATTGTAAAAACGAAAGCATTTAAATTTTTAAGGAGTTTTTTGATGATTTGGTCAAAAGGAATGTATATTGAAGTCAAGTCATGAAAAAGAAAAAAAACTGACATAAGCATAGTTAATACTGCAACAGGCTACTAATGGTAAAAACCTGGTTATTGTTTTTGTATTTACCTATATTAGATGATACTACTTAAATTTAATATCTTGTTTAAAACGGCTTTGTATATATTATTTTAATCACATATCACAAGATAATTACATCAATCAACAATCTATATTGACTCTCAAAATTGTAAAGCCTTTTAAGCTTTACATATATACACAGCTACTTAAAAAACTATGACACCAATGAAATAAACCATTTTTTAAACCCAATTAATCTTAAAATTTTAATGGCACTAAGTAGTCTGTGACACATCTATATCATTTAACGTAATAGCCATAGATAATGTCATATATTATTTATTTAAAAAAAAACTGTTTATACTGTATTTTTTTAGACAAGTCTTTAGCACTATGGGGCGACGCATTCTCTACATGTGTGGCTAGTAGGGTTTGCCAAGGATTGCCCACTGGACCTTTTAAGCAAGTCGATATCTCCATAGACATATCCAGTTAATGTATTTAAATGCCAATTACGATTAAAAACCTATTAATTTTTGTTCTTGATAAAAAGTTACGCTTCCGACAATGGCATATAAACCTAAAATACACATAGTGTACGGAAAGAGAACCGACTGGCGAAGTAATAATATGATTTTAACATCGTACCCCAACTGTAATGCACGCCTTCCACTGCGAGCGGAACGGACTCCGCTATACTAGTAACGATGATTTTCATTTCCGTGGGAAACTCGGTCAACTCGCTCTCTCCGCTGCGCTCGTCTCCTCCTTGGTGGAAGCACATGTATGAAAATCATCGTTACGAGTATAGCGGAGACCGTAATGGGTCCGTTCCGCTCGCAATGGAAGGCGGGCATAAAGTATCAAATGTCTAACTTGATTTACGGTTGATTGATTATATATAGATGATTATTGTCAAACTTTAATGACGTACCATTGTTGTCAACTAAAAGACGGCGACGATTCTTTTTTCGCAGACTATAGCAATGTTTTATTTAAAACTTGTCAAGGGCGAGTTGAGGTCAACTCGAGCGACGTGTCCTCTCAGTATTGCTAGTAGTTAACGGTGACGGTGTGATGCGCTACGGCGGTGTGATGCTGCGTCTGAGCAAACGCGCCAGTAGGGACGTTGGTGGAGCTGGATGGGACTGTTGCACGCACTTGCTGTGACAAACACAATATGTTAGTAATACGGTTAAGCCATGTTTAACTGACTAAGAAAGGTTAATTGATTAAAAATCCTGGATGTGATAAAATTGGAATTTTAATTAGATCTATTTGGCATCCAGATCGTGAGCTAAGTTTATAAACTAAATTCTCGAAAAATAAAAATAATATTAAAATAAATCGTGATGATATAAATCAGCTAAAACAGTACAAGTTTCAGCTAAATCGGTTAAGTAGATTTTGCCATATATTTGCATTGCTGAAAGTGGCTTGTACCTACCTAGGTAAATAATTATAAAAAAAATTAAAAGTCACCTGAGTAGTCACTTGCATCACAGTGTTAGGTTGAGGAACTGAATTTTCGGTCACTTCCATTTCCGATGGAGGCCTGAAAATAACATAGAAGTCGGATTTATATTCTGAATTCAATTAACAACTAATCTGGGATATAGTATATATAATAATAATAATAATTAAGCCTCATTGCTTCCTTGAAAAATTTACAAAAAGTTACAAAATATACACACTATACATATTATATATAGTCTTGAATATATGCATTTGAATTACGAACGTCAAAATTTTTAAATATTACTCATCAATCACAATATAACATTCTCGTGTCGTGGTGTTTGTAGTTAAACTCCTCCGAAACGGCTTGACCGATTCTCATGAAATTTTGTGTGCATATTGGGTATGTCTGAGAATCGGACAACATCTATTTTTCATCCCCATAAATGAATTTTAATTTTTAGAAAATTTTTTTTATGATACAGCATTAAAAAATACATAAAACCCCTAATTTTCACCCCTCTACGATCAACCTCTATTTTTATTATAAATGACATACATGGCAAAACAACGTTTGCCAGGTGAGCTAGTTATAAATAAATAAATTAGTGAATCCAACAGATGGCACGAAAGAAACATACAGAATGACAGCTTGCCTAATATCCGGTTTTCTATCAACATCCAGGGGGTCTGCCTCAAACGGTTTTCCACATTCCTCCATACAAACATCGTTGTCTTCAGCATTTTCCTGATTCGTGTTCTCAGTATGCGTGCGACGATGCGTTGTTAAATGACCTACAAAAAAAAAGTAATTCAGACAAATCAAGCCGAATAAAATCCTGGCAACATCACTATAATCAAATGGTTAACTCTAAGTTGGAATATATGAAGTATATTCCAACTTAGACTTAAATAACTTAATTACTTACTTAAATTATCGACATGGCTATTAGTTTCCGAAAAATTTGGAAGCTTAAACAGATAATCAATACTTAGGGTCTGTTTCACAATGTACGGATACGTTCTACATAAGTTCCAAATTAGCTATTTATTACTTATTGGTAGGATAAACACTATTGTTGCGTTTCACAACTGTCAGATAGCGCTATTCGTCACATAAAGTCCGTCATAAGTTATGAGTCCGATGACGTGTCAAATAGCACAATTTATCTTCCAAATAATTTGTGTGTTGCATAGCGATTTGGTACATTGTGAAACAGATAATAATTAAGTAAATTATAATATTCCCTACTAAATCTATTTCAACAATATTGCATCCGTTTTTTAAGTCGGTGCAAATTTCAATATATTAATGGATCATTATAAACTATTAACAACCTGCTACCTACAGAAATAAGCACATCATAGCTTATTACTATGGTTAGTTTTTTTAACAGATGTTATAATCCAGTTTAATATTAGTTTGTTAATAGTCCAGTTTTTAATTATATAAAACTTATGAATTCTTTCTTACCTTTGCACATAAATTCTTTAGAACATATGGTACATTTGAATACTTTTGACGTGGCGGATTTCGAGTGGGATCTCTCGTGGAAAAGGAGATTGCCTTTGAGCGGGAATGCTTTTCCACATTCGCCGCAAACGAACGGCTTGTCGCTACAAGCGTGTGACCTAGCAAAACAAGTAAAAACAAAAAGTAAACAACAAAATCACAGACAGTTTCAACACTCAAACGTGAAGTCAAATTTAATTTGAACAGATTAAAAATATCACACTTTGTTGCATTGCAACTTATACTGTTATGTGAAAGAGAAGAGGACAAACTTTTGCTTGGACAAATTGCTTGCTGAAAAGCATTCGAATTGCCATGTTGCGTAATTATTGTAAAAATTCGAGTTTATATTAAATAATTTACTTCATATGTGAGACTAGGTGCTCCTTTTGGGTGAATGTCTTAGAGCACGCTTTACACGTGAAAGGGCTATCTCCAGTGTGCTGTCGCATGTGGTTGTTGAGATGTTCCTTTCGGGTGAACGTTTTGCCGCAACATTCGCAACGGTGCGGCGACTCGCCCGTGTGTATCCTGGAACCAGTATAAAAAGTAATTTAAAAAAAAAAATAACTAAAACCTTAATTTCGAATAGTTAAAGTAAATTATGACTTTTAGTTTCCAAAATATTTGTAGACAAGCATATAAATATACATAAAATTATGAAATTTTGCACGCTTGCAGAAAACCTAAACAGATCATCATACTCATACATAGATATCTACCTGGTAACCTCCTCTCTTGAAAACAGTTAAAAATGGATGGTAGAGATCCATAATAAGGCCATTCAGCAAAAAATAAAATATGTTTATTATGGAACATAAGATACCTACAGGTATCACTTATTTATACCTACTCATCGGCAAAGAAGACAGAGGGTGTAGGCCGAGAGAAAAAGCCGGCGTAAAAAACTCTCGGTACTCTTTTAAAATAGCAAATCATCAAACAACACTTATTTTAAAAACAAATATCGCAAATTAATTAGAAGTAGCCTGTCTACCACTAGTCCCAGGCCCTTTTATCAACTAGATAATCGTTAACTTTATTGTAAGCCTTTTTACACAGCTTTTCTTAAATTTATTAAAAGGCAGGGATAAAAGAGCCTCCGGGATTTTATTAAAATATAATCCGTTTTCCCAAAAAATAATTACTAACTTTAGATAGTCTATAGTCTATACGATAGATCTAGTAAGTGGGAAATTGCAGCCTGCGTTTGTTCCGAGTATTAACATTATGCGTATGTATAGACAACTTACCGCACATGATTAGTTAAATGTTCTTTCCTCGAAAACGTCTTGGTGCAAAAAGGACATTTGTGCGGCGTCTCCCCAGTGTGTATGTGCATGTGATTCGTGAGGTGTTCCTTTCGCGAGAATGCTTTGTTGCAGTATGTACATTTGAAGGGAGTCTCCCCTGTGTGTTGCCTGAAACAAGACGTAACTTGTCTTATAGTCCGGTCAATATAGACATTTGAAATAACAAAAATTCCCGGAAAGCCAAAAATTGGTGGAGAGCTGAGGTATACCATTACAAATAAAGTTTTAAAAATCCCCATCGGCGTTACCTTATGGCGTTTGACATAACATTGACATCGAAAAAGGGAGAGAAGGAGAAACTGTATGAGCTAATATGTAGGTATATAATATCTTTATATATATAATTCTGCTTAACGCGTGTATGTCACTGAACTCCTCTTAAACGGCTGGACCGATATGAATGATTTCTTTTTGTATGCGTTTGGGTGACTTCCTAGATGGTTTAGAATTTAGATTCACAAATCAGCCCAGAATTTGGCGCTGCAGTCGTTACTTTCATACTTTGTTTAATATCCTAATCGCTTGAAATATCATGCAAGACAACGTCTGTCGGGTCCACTAGTATATAATACAAATTTATATGAATAAGTATTTGAAAAACCACATTATGTGATTCTATTAAAAACCCATGGCTAATCTATTTATAAAAATACTATTGATTATGCATACATATGTTAAATTACCATTGCGGCCTTGTACTACAAATATAAAGTAATTGTTTAATTACCTTATATGGTTAGTGAGATGTTCCTTCCTGGTGAATGACTTGGAGCAAAACGTACAGCGATGAGGAGATTCGCCGGTATGTTGCCGAACATGATTTGTCAAGTGCTCTTTGCGCGTAAAGGACTTGGTGCAGTATGAGCACTTGTGTGGCGATTCCCCGGTATGTTGGCGGACATGATTTACTGAAAGATTTGATTACATTTTAAGAATATATATTATAAAGAAAACACTTTTTAACCGGATTGAAGTTATGTTTTTAATTTACAATTATTTTACATAATTTTCAATTTAACCGACGTTTCACATGCTTTACAGCGTGCGTGGTCACGGTGACTAACTTAACTAAACATAACTTCAATCCGGTTAAAAAGTGTTTTCTTTAAATGTGTAAAGGTTATGTCAATAAAAGACAATACTATATATATATTAGATCACACCTTAAAATATAGATACTAAAATGAAAAGAGCACGTAACATAACTTGAAGACGCGAACCTCCCTAAAACCTTTTTAAATTAAAAAAATTATATTACTCGACTTTGGTCAGTTTGCTATGTCACAATGGTATTTTTCTATTAAACACCCATAAACTCCAGAAAATGCGCAGTCCCTTCAGCAACACTATATATATATAGGATACTACATAGGCTCTCTTACAGATTTACAAGAAGGTATATTTGATTAAGGCATAGTTAAAGTAAACAATGATTTCATGTTTCATGTGCACAGATACTATTTTATTCATTAGAATACTACTGTTGTTATTAAAAAAGAAACATGACGGTAGAAATTATAAATCTCTTTACCTAAATGATCTTTCCTTGTAAACGCCTTAGGACAGTAGCCGCATTGGAAAGGTGTTTCGCCGGTGTGTTGCCGCACATGATTCACGAGATGTTCACGTCTCGTAAATGATTTGGAACAGAAACTGCACCGATGCGGGGATTCCCCCGTATGTTGTCGAACATGGTTAAGCAAATGTTCTTTTCGAGTGAAAGTCTTAGAACAGAAGTCGCACCGATGCGGTGTTTCACCTGAAAACATTTTTGACATATTACATATTATTATCAGCATTTAATTCTCAAATTTAAAATTCAAAGTTTTTACATGCACAAACTTAAATACACATTTTCACCTATAGCCAAGAATGTTAAATCTAACCTCAAATTTAAATTAATAAAAATTCCAAGTTTTCACTTCATGCAAGCAAATGTAAATCCAAGCCTGACCCGTGAATAAAATAATCATACTAACCAGAATGCCACAGAATGTGATTGGTGAAGTGTTCCTTTCTGGTGAAGGACTTTCCGCACTGTTCGCATCGGAACGGTGTGTCGTTCGCATGCGATCGCATATGGTTCATTAAATGCTCCTTCCTAGTATACTTCTTGCCGCAAATTTGGCAATGGTGCGGCGTTTCACCTAGCGAGCGGGCAGAAACGTCTCATCAATGATGCAACTATCGATTTCAGTGTTTATCATCGTTCTATACGTTTATTAAACACCGTTCAAATGGTTAGGACAAACGCTGAGAAACACCGATATGTCGTGCAATTAGTTCGGTATAGGATATATACTTTATATGAATAGTTGAATCATTTAGCTACTTTCTACTTTCTGCACCACTTCTACCTAACGGTGCAGGCTTGGTTTCACATTTACTAATGAATTAATTAGACACAACAACGGATACATACAACGTGAAATAATTATAAAAAAACTATGATGAAATTAAATTGGCCATCTTAAATGTCATATAATATATACTAGCGACCCGCCCCGGCTTCGGACCGATGCAATGCTTATACTATATATATATAGGGAGAACCACGGCCTCCGACGCGCTGAGTCCAGCAATTTTTAAATTTGTAATATCTTCAAAAATATTCATTTAAATCATATGCTGTAATGGGCCATATAGATCTATATTAAATCAACAATGTATTTAAGGTATTTAATTGGATAAGGATTAATGCTGTATTGGTTAAAATCGCTTAGAAAATTAGCCATTAGTTGTCGTAAAAAGTAAATGACAAAAAAATGTTATTGTGGATATCCATGAGAGATAGACATATACCATCGCGGAGTTTTCTGTAGACCCTTCAATGTGTAAAATACTTAGTACATTATTTTGATAAATCTCGTAGGGTTCGCAATATAAGCGGAAAAAATGTAATTATTTACAATTTACGACATCACATTAGAAACCTCAAAAATAACAGTATTTCTCCATCCATATTTAATAAATGTTATTATACATATAAACCTTTCTCTTCAATCATTCTATCTATTTAAAATCGCATCAAAATCCGTTGCGTAGTTTTAAAGATTTAAGCATATATAGGGACAGAGAAAGCGACTTTTATACTATGTAATGATAATAATATTTAGATATACTTGTCTTATGGAGACAAGCAAATATGCGACTATTTGCTTAGACTGTTAAATATATAGAGTATATTATATAGTTCGGTTTACCAAATTTGATGAAAATTTTATTGATAAATCAAACACAACTCCTGTTAGCTATGAATAGAGTAGTAGTCGTAATAGTTCAAACATTTCTGTCGGCCAAAAAACCCTTGCTGACTAATAATTATTTCGCCGGAAATCGAAGCCGTATCGTAGCGTAATAAGTTACAGACGGCTGAAAATATATTTTTATAACATATATGTTATGTAACCAACCCGTATGCCACATGACGTGGTTCATAAAATGCTCCTTGCGCGTGAAGCTCTTCTTGCAGATCTCGCAGCGGTGCGGAGTCTCGCCCGTGTGTTTACGAACATGGTTCACCATGTGCTCCTTACGGGTGAATGTCTTTGCGCAATATTGGCATCTGCAATGTTAGGATAGTTAATAGGCTTCGCGTACGAACTTTAAAAAAACAGGGTTATAAAATATTTTTATTATTTTCGACTTTAATGTAATGCCTTAGTCAGCACTTTATACGTCTTAATATGGGTGTCTATGAGCGTGTTGTTAACTAACCATTACTACCTTGTTCCCTATTAAAAATCGGTTGTCTGTAAAGTCGGTTTACTGGCGATGGTTGAACGTGACAACGTCATAAGAAAATACTGATGGAATAGTTGCATTTTTCAAAATAAAATTTTAATTTTATTTGTTTGATAGATATTTTGTATGGATATAGAGAAGGAGGTGAATGGAAATCACAATTGAATTGATCAAGTTACACATATTTGTACGCATAAATACAATTATGTAAATTTTATAACGAACGAACGCTGCCGAACGCGGAGGCCGATTGTGCCTCTGTGTCGCTCGTTCCGCGCTCTCGCTTGCACTTCAAGCCAAAATGGAACGCCTCAGAGCGAGGAACGCCGCATGCGTCAAGAGTGAGGTAACGCCGCATGCGACATGTTTTTCGTGCGTGCAGCCGGCTCAATCGAATTATAAGACGTTGTCACGTCAAAAAAGCGACAGTCCTGGGTTAGATTTTTGAAAAACGTGTTGGAAGGTAAGATTCACCACTACCATAGAAATGAAAAGTATAAAACCTGTATGGCGTTTCCCCGGTGTGTGTTCTGACATGGTTGTCAAGATGTTCCTTCCGCCAGAAGGTCTTTTGGCAAGTTGTGCAGGCGTAAGGCTTGTCTTGAGATAGACGCTTCAATTTGTCTGCTGGGTCACCAGCTAAAGAAAAATGTTTTCAAGTATATAGATTTTGCATAGTAAGCTTACTGAATTATGAATACTAATAATTATTATTATACTCTTTAAATGTTTCTAGAGCTCAACATGTAATTTTACATAAAAATCATCTATGTCGAAATTGTTTTTCTAATAATATGTATCATTTTAGATCTTATTATTCTCATTAGTTGTATATAGTCTCTTTTAATTTAGTAAGATTTATGCAAATCAAAAGTCACAAAAAAAATTACTGCAGACTTAAAATTATTGAAAAAGAAAATGAATAGTAGTAAGTAAATTCTATTAACCATTGTTTTATATAAGCCATAAATTGCTCATTTAGGCATTAACCTTACCTAAATGACATTTCCCATGTTTAGACAATTCCGTTGGATTAGAAAAAGCGTTGCCACACACTTGACATGGATATTGTTTGCCTTCACCATGGTACCGTCTGAAAATAAAGTTATCTTATTTAAATAATACAATCGTTTGTACAGTGAAGGGAAAACAAGAGAAGGTATGGATTAGAACCAAAAATTTTGTTGGTTTGTTAAAAAAAAAAGGGTGCGTGTGCGCGCGTAAGAAGTTATACTTCTTTGGCATTATTAAAAATAGTTTTTGATTGCATGCAAATAATTTATTACAATTAAATAATCAAAGACGGGAAAAGGAGTCATTATAGTCAATAAAGTTCAGTTTACATACGAAAAATTAAATAAATAAATATTTATTATTATTCTCTTACATTAAGTGTAACATAGATTCTATTATTATTCGAATGTTGTTTTTAAATTATGTCCAATGCCGTAGCATCTTCCGTGGGCAACTTCATTCTGTTAATTTTGTGTCACGGTGCGCGCGCATCGTAAAATTTCACTCTCATCAATTTTTCATAACGCGCCTAAAGAAGTATATTACTTCAAAAAACAAATGATAACGAAACTGATGTTGAACCAGGGCTTGCAGCGTCATTGGTTTTTTAATATCGTAAATAGGTGGATAAAAAGCTTTACTTTTGTTGAAACCTATTGTTTCGTAACCCAAGTAGGTGATCAGTTTCCTGGTTGATTTAAGGCCAACAAATTGGGATTATTGAGCGGCACCAATACATTATTCTTGTAGTTATACAATGCTTTAAAGAACTGTATGTCTATACACTATACAGGTTTTATAAATTATACAGTTATTAACCTAAAACCCAATATTGTGGCTTGACGGCTCATTGGTCTAGTATTTAGTACCCGACTGCGAATCCATGGATCCCGGGTTCGATCCCCGGCTGAGACAAACATCGATGTGATAAGCATTTGGTGTTGTGCTTAGGTCTGGCGTGTTTAAATATGTATTTATATGTCTATCTATCTATAATATGTATGTATATCCGTTGCCTAGTACCCATAACACAAGCTACACCAGCTTAGCATGGGACTAGATCAATTGGTGTGAATTGTCCAATCATAAAAAAAAATAAGACTATATGTGTATATTTTAATTTTAGTATGTTGTATATTTAATTACCTGTGAACAATAAGTTGATATCGAAATTGAAATATTTTCCCACATATATCACAAGCATGGTGACCAGGAGACGCCTCTGCTTCAGACATGGATGCACTTGTACTCGCCTCTAGTTCGACTTCATACAGAACTGGCTGCTAAGGATAAAATTTAATAATTATTTCAGGTCCATTATTACTACAAATTACTAAAACATATATGTATTATTTAATGTAAGAAATCAATGCAAAAAGATGCCAGCAGGTGTTTAAACCCCACCAATTTTTAGAAAGGCATGTGTAATTTACCCACAAGAATCAAAAATAGGGCAGTTAAATTATTATTTATTTATTTTTAAAATAAGATACATACATATAAACATAAACAAAAAACAATAATTTTCACTCTTCATGAGATTTTGATAGTGAACAACAAAACCACTTTCAAAAGGAAAATTTTATCACACATTTTTATATAAAAAATCATTATCGATCCGCTCCTGTCTATTGGTATTTACGGTAAGAGAATTTAAGAATTTGAGTGTAATCTATTACAAGCAATTCTTTCCTCTATGGTTATAGTGTAGACTATATCTAACCTTATTGGGTTGTGTCTGTTGTTGCTGTTGCTGCTGTTGAGGTGTTTGCTGTTCATTGCTAAGTTTCCCAAAGACCTCGTGATAGGCGAGTAGTTGAGAAAGGTCTTCCACATTCACTTTGTACATGGCATGCAGGTCATGGTCAGCAGCACCAGCCGAGATCTTTACCACTGCACCTTCCACTCCCATACTACTTACACTCTGAAAAGATGGTTTCTTTCTAATGACTTTCAATTCATTTTATCAACTATCCCATTTTTAACATTGATATATACATACAAGAATCTTAAAAAAAATTGTCATGCTTAAGTTATAATTTAGATTTAAAATGTTAACCATATTACTTATTTTTTAATAATGATAATATAAATTAAATTTCTAATTGTAAAATCTATTATTATTGAATAATGATTATTATGAAGATGCTTATTTTGTAGATAAGAAAAAATCAGTGGCAATAGTTATAGCCAAAGTTTTATAATTTTGTCTTTTTACCTTTAAATCAATCCCCTTAATATCTTTTATGTCGGCCGGTGCAGCAAATTGTGCCGATTCAATCTTGGCAACATTCTTCTCATCTTTCACCAGAAGAGGATCTACTGCACTCGTTTCTATAGAAGTTGTACCATCGGGGTTTTGAGTCACAAGAATATTTGCTGGTTCACCAGTCGCTTGTTCTATGCGGACAACACTGTCTATGACCTATGGAGAAAGTAAGTAAGAAATCTACATAAGTTATCTTGAAAGTATTTTATTATTGTTTTAATTTATTAATTATCAAGTAACAATATAATAAACAAATTTGTACAATAATAGTTAATACTGATAAACCTAAGTGGTTGACTATCAAATAAAAAATGTGAGCTTATCATCTTAACTAGAGAACAGCTGTTGTAAAGTAAAGTTTTCTTGCTATTATTTTTTTTTTATTTGTTTATTTAAAATTGTAAAAGAAATTTGCACAAGTAAATGCATATAAAATTAGCAAATAATAATCTTATAGGTAACAAGTATTTTCTGTTATTGAAGTCAATAGACAAACCTGATGATGTCCAACAATTTGTTGCAGCTGATGCACAGTAAGATGAGTGTGATCTGTGGGCATTTTGATGGTTTCATGGAGTTCATCTTTGTCAATCATCTTCCCACCTCCTGGTTCTACAACAGTTACTATACCATCTTCACTTACTGTCAGTTGTATCTGTGAAACAATGTCTTTAAATAAATGAAATGAAAAAAAAAATTCTTTAATGTTTCCATAAATTTTGTCCACTTAGTGTAAGAGAATATTAATATACATATAAGAAATTTCAGTTGTTACTTTAAATCAATTAAATGGAAGGTAACCATTTAAAAAAATTAAATAAATAGAAGCTAAAGTTTTACAGAGTAAATGATATGTTTGGAGATTGTATTTGTTAGAAAATTCAACTTGAACTTCATATTAACAAAATGTATAAAAACTTGTTAAAAAAAAAAATTGTGTAAACTGTAAATAGTCGGTTTGATGTAACATAGTTATTACAACTCGATGTGATCTAGATTTATTAATATGTATGTATAATTTCTGTAATGTTTCAAATTTTCTTACAGATTATATTAAGATATGTAAATGACAGTACTCTAAATTAAGATTTTTGCAGAAACTCACCTCACTAACCTGCATTTGAAGGTAGCATGAAAGCATAGTTAATACACTTTTGAATAAAATAAGTACTATGCAACTTGATGAATTGTACTTTTTCTTTATTAACTTGATGAACATGTTATATAAATTGTTTTACTTTATATGAAATATATAATAATTATATTATAATTAAACCTAATTATATATAGCCTATTTTCATTAGGCTATATATGTTTTACTTGTCTATAGATATACAGGGTTGTAGCTGTCATAACTCTGTTAACCAGTAAACATCTTGCTGGGGTTCCAGTTGCTAGGTACAGAAAGAGCCACTGGCTTAAAATTAATCAATGAAACAAACCCAATGTATTTCTTATTTAACAAGCAAACCCAGACATATGTATATACGAGATACATGCCGTACTGTAATTACACCTCTTAAACTATTGTACGAGTGAATTCTTCTTGAGAAGTTATTTTTTTCTTCTTTTTAGATATGTAGGCCTTCCAACTGGATGCAATTATTTGGATGAAAAATTAACCTAGAACATTCAGGTTGTAAACAATATGAATTACTAACCAACTAAGCTGTAGAAATGGTTAAAATAATCAAAATGTCACGATAAGTAAATAAAGTATGTTTTATTATTTACACACCTGTTGGTTGGAGTGATCTGGTCTGGCTGCTATTAACTGCTGTTGCAAGATATGTTGTGAATGATGGCCCTTTAAGAAAAGAGGTTTAAGTTAGAACATTGTTCTTTGACTAACTTACAAAATTGTCTATATGGAAATTTAACTAATCATTTATTTACAGTATTATTTTTTGAATCTGCCTCAAAAATCAATTATCACAGAGATTTTATTGATGGCTCTGTTACCAACAAAGTACTAACTTTAGAATACTAATTGATACATAACTCATATGAAACGAAAAGGTTTTGTTTAAGAAAATCTTATTAAGAATACTTAAAAAATTTACTAATACTAGAAATTATTTGTTCCAAACTCTACAGGTAATAATTGAATCAAACTGATTACATTGATCATGCAACAATAAAGACATGCAATAGTTACAATGATTCAGAGTTCCCTAATTTTACTGTTTCCATGCACTCTATGACATACCCAGATGACTCTAGACTACTGCAGTATAGCATTCCTGCTAAAATAGGTAGTGTTACCACATAATTTACCATATCAATGTTATGGTGTTGAACAAACTCGACCCGACTATTGGGTACCTGTGATGTTCCACTGGAAGACTGCTGGCTTGACATCTCTTGTTGCTGGGTGTGAGCCACTAGGGTTTCTAAAATAAGAGATTATAAGTTACAAATTGTAAAATCAATAAAAACATTTGTTTTGTAAGTAACTAAAATATATATCAAATTTAAACATATGATAATAATTTCCAAGAAATAAATTTAGAGGGAATATTGTGCATGAAAATTGATATGAACAAGAGAAACAATTTAGACATATTATTAAGTTTAGATTTTACTTATAAATCCAAGCCAAGTACTAGGCAATCGGTATTGATTAACCACAACAGAAATAAGATTAAAATTATTACCATGTCCTTGTCCTGATTGGGTTGTGATAATTTGAGATATTGGTATTTGTTGGCCACCGGCAGAGACTGTAACCTGTGATTGTCCACTGTGGTGACCCAATATAATATTGGGGTCTCCATTAAGTATACTTGTATGGGTCTGTCCAAGATCCTGAAATTATTTGTTGCTATTCAAATTAAGTTCAAGCCACTAAATATACCTACATTTTAAGAACGAAATATTGTTTTTGAAATATACTAATAATAAAAAAGTTGGTATCAAAACGTATACACTAGCTAATGGAATGAATATTAAATATATATATATATATGCTTTGGTAATAATTTTACCTGTACTGGTTTCCCATTTTCAATCCTTGTACTTGTTGGCAAACCGTATACGGAAACTTGAGGTATTGGACCGGGAAACAAATTTGTAAACACCCAATATTTTGCGACGCTAGACAAAGCGACATTTACAGCTGCAGAGTTCACCCTTAGATCTGTTGCAGAAGTCGTAGGAGTAATACTTTGCTGTTGAGCTGATTGTACTCTTTGATTCTGTGACTGTAATAAACAATAATAAAACCTTACAATCCGTCATAATTAATGATGATCTAAAGATCAAAAACGAATCAAACCTCAGAATTCCCAGGCGGCTGGCCACCGCCAGTATTAATACTATGATGATCCGGATTCATCCTTAATAAAATGTATTTCACTTAATGTTTACAAGTTTTCATACAGTTTTTGATTTTTATGTATCAGCATTGACATAATTTGTCTGTCACTGAAATGGAGGCGCGGGGGACGCGACGAGCCGCCATTATGAAACTTAACACACAAAAACATTATCCAAATATCATGTAAATACAGTTTTTATACACCACACATGATTGCAAATTAAAAAATTCACTCAGAATTCTATATTAGAGTGTAAACACTATAGAAAGAGATAAGTTAATCGTATATATATGTATTGTAATTACATTCTTGTAATTTTTACACATATTCACGACGGATGGGACGAACGAAACTTTGTCATAGACAAGGCTGCCAACATTAAAAAAAATAGTCATGTGCATGATTTAATAAGGTGATCTTTTTAAAATTGTATTCAAAAGTTACAATAAGGGTTGACAAAATGGTAACACTTTTTTTATTTGAAAAATCAGTCTTAAAAATAATTTTAGAGTATTTATTGTTATCTTTTAACAAAGATGGCGCTAGAATTAATTATAACAAGTTTACCAACATAAAGACAGAATGTTTAAAATTTCAGTCGCACAGCGTACTAATTAATTGTAATCCCTATGAAGTATAAACAGTAAACACTAAATTTTATTCGTTTTGAAAGGACAATAAACAAATGGAATGCTAACAGGGTATTCTTTCTTTCTTTTTTGATTCTTTCATTGTTTTAAAATAGGTACCTACTACCCATAAATATAAAAATTCAATATTAAATTAGTATTTTATTCTTTAGCGAAATCCGTTAGAGTATAATGTATCGAATTTTCTTTGATAGTCCTTTGGATTATTTTATTTAATGTATTCTACATGTTTGTGGAAATCCACTATACCGCGCGCGATTGCGCGCGATCATAGTATCTTGAAAACCCTCTACAATTAATTTTTTTCTCAAAAATTAATCAAGAGCTTGTTAAATATTTGTAGGCTTAATTGCTCGTAATACTTAATTCTTTCTCGTAAAAAAAAATTATTGCTATGCTACTATTTACCTAGATCAGTTTCTTATTATATTATACAAATTCAAATACAGTTGTGTAAATAGCTTAATAGTAGGTACAATAGATGCCCAGCACCCACCACTCCTCCCTAAAATATGGATATACGTATACATATATCTACGTATAAAAGACCGGCAACGCACTCGCGAGCCCTCTGGAATTGAGAGTGTCCATGGGCGGCGGTATCACTTAACATCAGGTGAGCCTCCTGCCCGTTTGCCCCCTGTTCCATAAAAATATATAATATATGTATATATATAATTAAATATATTATATTTATTTTAGTTACCTAAGGTATGCAAACAAACATATTTTTTTAAATATTCTGGAATGAAATATAGCTTGGTTACTAAGGAATAATTATTTATCTTTCTAATGGTAAGAGTTATTCGTTATAAACTTACAAAACTACGGATCTTTCCTCTTTTCAAATTGTTAGTACATATGTATAATATTAACGACAATATAATAAATCATAATTTGTTGTGGCTCAATATGCGTTACCAACTTAGCCCGGAGAAGAACTAACTCAAACTCAAACTCAAACTCAAAATATCTTTATTCAAGTAGGTAACCAAGTACACTTTTGAATCGTCAAGTTAAATTAATCGTAAATTTACATTTACTACCAGTTCGCAAGTCAAGGGCGTAGAGCGGGTAAGAAGAACTGGCAAGAAACTTTCCGCCACTCTTTTTAATCGCCAAGTATTGTCATACAAATTGTTTGAACTGGAGCAATTCAATCCCAAGGATTAGGATCATTTAAGTAGTCCTCAAATTTATAAAAAGCTTTGTTGATTAATTTTCGTTTAACGAGGGCTTTGAATTTATTTAGTGATAATTCTCTAATTTCGCTTGGGAGCTTGTTGTAAAAACGAATACAATTTCCATATAAGGAGTGGTTTATCTTTTGGAGCCTGGTTGGTCGTACACTCAAATTAGTTCTATTTCGCGTATTATACTGGTGAAAGTCACCATTTGTTTTAAAATCGTTTATATTTTTTTGGACATACAACAAGGCTTCAAGAATATATTGACCAGATAGTGTCATAATATTTAATTCCTTAAACTTATTCCGTACCGACTCCCTCGGAGAAACACAACAAATACCCCGAACAGCCCGCTTCTGCAGCACAAATATGGATTGAACCTCTGCAGCAGCACCCACAGTAAAATTCCGTACGACATAACGCTATGAAAGTAGCTATGGTACACAATTTTAGCCGTGTCCTCATCAGTAAACTGTCGGATTTTCTTTACTGCATATGCTGCAGAGCTCAGCCTATTCGAAAGAGTCTCTATGTGTGGGCCCCATTGGAGTTTACTATCTATTGTTATGCCTAGAAAAACAGTTTTGTCAACAAAGTTTAGTTCACTGTCCTTAATTTTCAGGTTACCAATATCTCGCTTTACGCTAGTAGTTGTAAATCTAATACATTTTGTTTTATTCTCATTAAGCAATAAGTTATTTACATTAAACCAGTTAACTATACGAGAGATAGAATTGTTTACATCGTCCAATAATACGTTATTCCTATTCACTTTAAATAGAAGTGAAGTGTCATCAGCAAACAATACCATCTCATGAACTTCGTTGACAAAGAATGGGAGGTCATTTATGTAAATCCTACCTAGTACCTACCTACCTACATAATTTTATGAGTACCTACTAACGAGGTATTCATAAAATTATATAAAAATATGTAATACAAATATTCAGTGTCTACAATACAAGTATTTGTGGACAATGGTGACATATTATTATTACTATTATAAATAAAAGTTAAATATTATTTGAATACATTGAAATAAAATTAGTAAAAAATTAATTCTTAACAAAAAATGGCTGAATTGTTTGAGAACAGGATAAGCCAATATTCCTATACGGATATAAATTATTATAAGGCTATTATATACACGTGAACATAGATTTGAAACAACTCCGCAACCGGCAACTCCGCAACCGGCAAGTTTCAATTCAGTAATAACTGAGAGGCTGTTCGGACCGCGCGCCTTTACGATCAAAACTCGCGTAAAGATTTACGTCAACAACAAAAACTTTTTAAAACCAGTATATTAATTAAAAAAGCTGATAATTAAACCTGTTTTGTAAAACTTTTTTAGAAATTTAATAAGTTTTAAGTTTAAAATTTAGACGGGTGTCATCACTTCGCAGGTTTGTATTTACATTTAAATTGCAAATCTATAATGGGAGTATCATAATTTCGTACCTAAAACTTTTCTTGAGAATTCTTTGTGATAAAGAAATTGATGCGGTTTTCTCGCCGCAAAGTTTCTATATTTCTAGAAATTCTTATTGTTTTAATGTAATAGAAACTATAGTGTTAAGATAGAGTCTAATTTTATAATACATCATAAGAACTTGAGTGTCAAGAGGAAAAGTATTAATATGCTAACTATATTCTAAATAATGTTTAGCATTATGCTAAAATAATCCGTTTTCCTTATTTTTAAGGGCATTGTGATATTATATGCCTTATTTAATAAATACGTTCTATGTTGATTTTAATGAATAAATGACTACAATGAAATTAAAAAGCCGTTTCTTGCCGCGAACCACCGAGGTATTTCCGAGCCAAGCCGACTTAGGGTCCTTCTCGAAAAGAGTATACCAATTCTTAAAATACCGACTACGCACTCGCTTGGAGACTGTCCATGGGCGGCGGTAGAACTAACATGAGCCTCCTGCCCGTTCGCCCCCTGTTATAAAGTGTCAAAAAGTTTATTTTTATAATATAAAAATAATTTTAGTTAGTAAGTTATTTTTATAATATAAAAAAAACTTTTGAATGATTTCAATTTTAACTCCTCAGTTAATTGTTAATATGCGTAGGAAATAGATTAAAAGTATCCTTACTGATTTTCTTAAACATTTTTAGTTGGTTATTAGTAACATAAATTTTTTTGTATAAATAAAAATATCAGTAATTTATATTGTTAAGTAGTGATCTCTTTAAAGCAGATCAAAAATAGTCCTAGTCGTACTTTTAATAGAAGGTACAATAAAAAGAACTTATGCGATTTATGTAAAGTAACACTATTTGTATATATTTACTTACTTTACATTAATAGCTTAGTAAATTTAGGATATTCTTTTACAAGACTTGATCAAGTGAGTTGAGTTTTTAGTATTCGTGTACATAAGAACTTTTGAAAAAATAATTAAATCATTCGTTCACTTTTCATTCTTCTATGGTTTATGATTAGTTTACATTTAGTTCTAAACTATAGTCGTTGGTTAGTTCGCCTTACTTATTCATATTTTGAGTCAATTCTAAAAACCGGAAGCGTGGTAAAAGCGCATTAACACGCGGTTAATTCAAGTTTGTTTAAGCTATTGGTTTGTTGTATCAGTTGCATAACTGAAAGCTTACACAATAACTCCAGGCTGGCCAACATATTGTTTACAAATTGTTGCATTGCTTGATTACAATTGTTTCATACGATATGATTGTTCTAATTATGTATTGCTATTTTGTCGATAAGAAAATGTGCTGTTTATTGTAGACGGAATAATGTTGGGGAAAATCGCTTCGGAAAGTACTTATGTATTTTTATAATTAATAATAAAAATTAACTAAAAATAAATTATTTAATTGATTCAAGTAATTTTATGTTGACTTAAAAATATTGATAAATATTTATTATGATTAAAATAGCCGAAACTAATACTACGGTTTCTAGACGGACGACGTTTAATATTTATTTATATTCGCCTCTTAAATATCAAACAAAAGTAAAATGTTTGTTTTAAATAACTGAAGTCCAAAATTAGTGTATCGCTATATCGCATGTAACTTGTAACATTTTATCTAGATTCGAGAGAAGCACCAGGCGGAAGTTAGTAATTGATATAAATAAGACGAACTAATAGATCTCTACAGAATGTAAACGGAAATGTTCTGATTGAAATTCCTATAATAATAGAC